GAATGCTAAATTTCAGAATAAAACTGCGTCATCTGGTGTATGACAATAAATGGCACAAATTATTTTTAACGCTGAACACTGACGAGAAGTGAGATTGTTTTAAGAATACATAATACATTGTTTTAAGAATACATTACATAACGCTATTACTAAGTGCATGCTATTGGGTAACAAACACAAAAGATCGAGAGCTAAACCTGCATGGTTAAACAAAACGGTAAAACAACATATCAAAGAAAAGAAGCTGGCATTTATAAAATATAACATGGAGGGGACTGCAGTGAAATTCCAGAGCTACAAGGAATGCAATAAGAGATGTAAACATGAAATCCGAGCAGCTAAAATAGATTACGAAAAACATTTCGCCACAGTTAGTAAAAAAGAACCCCCAAAAATTCTTCCAATATATAAACAGCAAAAAGTTAAGAAAAGATGAAATATAAGATGAAAACAGGAGACTAATCACAAACGACAGGGAGTAGGCTGAGCTATAAAATTTATTTTTCTCCTCTGTATACACAGAGAAAAAGACGGGTTTAATGGTGAAAAGAATGTGAGTTGCTCAGTGCGTAAAACACCGCAGTGGTTGACAGTAGTCGGGGTTCAACAAAGACTGGATAAACTTAATGCAAATAAATAGTTGGGACCCGATAACCTGCACCCCAGGGTACTTTAAAGAGCTTGACCAGGTTATAGCCAGACCATTATTCCTCATCTTTAAGGACTCCTTAATGACTGGAAAGGTGCCAAGTGACTGGTGTAAAGCTACGGCAGTACCAATATTCAAAAAAGTTCAAGATGCCAATCGGGTATATAATTGGAATCCGGTGACCTGCATACTGAGCACAACAGCATATGAATTGTAGTGCACAATTCTACGTAGATATATACAGATAGCCCATAGCCCATGACTAATTGTCACCAACACACGTGAGGGTAAATCATATGATTTTAAAAAAGTGAATAAATGGAGGTTATCGACAGTAAAATGTATGTATTAAAGCAATTTGTGGATCAACTCCCCCCACACATCCCTATTGGTCAGTAAAACAGCCCATCACAGTATAGGACCAACAGGGATTCTCTTGAAATGGGAGCATTCTTGTTGAGGTTCCTCAAGGGCTCATAGTTTGACATGCTTTTCATTTACCGCCTTAATTCTGTCATACCAGCCAGAATTCTTTAGTTCCAAGCACTAGCCATTTTAGAATAAATACAGATTTCCTTATGTGGAAGCATGGTTGTGGACTGAATGCCAGAACAAATGAACAGAAAATCATTGAAAGCTGATCTGACCTGCCAAGTTCCAAAAACACACATGGCTAACACTTGAAAAATAAAGAATTTAATCTTTTATTATTATTATTATTATTATTATTATTATCATGCTGAAAACAAATATATACTTTCAGAATTTAAAATAGAACCACATCACATGTATACTAATAACTGGGATGGAAAGGTGTTTTATAAATGTATACTGTCTGTGTGCAGTAGTTCTCCTTAGAATTTCTGACATTTTTGCAACAATCTTGTTTGCTCCATTCAGTAAAATGGGCTGGCTCGAAATCCTGTTATCCTAATATATGTGAGCTGCTGACTTCATCCAGTCTCTGGCATCTTGAACACACTGATTGTTATTACTGTTCTGACCCACCTGTGTAGAAATATTGATTAGCTCCATTGATTGAGAACCCTCATGACATTGCTGCTCTCTATACAGCTCACTGTAACATCAATTTTATATCCCAGAAAAACAAAGCAAAACTGTTCCATTTTAGTCCCTTGTGATATATTCTCCTTCTCTACATTTATCAAAGATGTTTGCTGGAAAGCAAACAGTGTTGTCCCCTAAGAGGATAAGACACAAGGCCTTCATGTGGTGGAGACATGCCGGTACCACCTTTATAAAAACATTAATCTGGGTTTATATTTCATACTGACTTTTTGATTTTAAGTATTTGTAGGGATTATTTCATTTATCTTCTAGATTTATAAGTTTAAAAGTGGGGAATACCAGCCATTTCCAAGGACTCTGACTAACCTTACATTACATCCGCATATGTGCATTTTTCATGCAGCGTGGGTGCAGAGCTGTGTATTTTACATGTGTTACTGCTCATCCCTGTGAAGAAAATGTACACCTGTGTAAACTGCAAGCAATGCAGAGATCATTTTTATTACATTGTACTAAAATGCATATATGTGAACATAGCCTATGCAAGTAATATTGATGTGTATATTTCATATAGGTGTGTATTAAAAATGGCTTATTGTCTTGTGGCTGGCATTGGAGGGAGTAGATTAACCTAACCAACGGACTGGATGTATCTGCTTCTGTGGGCTTAAGTGCATTTCAGGAGATGGTTATGTTCTTACTGGACAATTGCTTTCTAAAATGGCTGCAAAGCCAGGGTTTGGTATGTTTTCAACATAGAAGTTCTTGGCTCTAACCTATCTCTAAACCTTAATAAGACCCCAAGACTTAACCCTTTAGGATTCTGAAACCTGGTGCTTAGATATGGGATTTTTGGCATCCAGAGTGAACCTACATTTTAATCTTCATATCCAAAGAGGCCACCCTCTTTCAGCTATTACTTTTCATTAACTTTTATCATCACTCTAACATTGATCAAATTCTCCTAACCTTAACACTGCAACACCTAACTCCGAAATGTAACTATTTACAGATAACCACATTTTAACATTTAACCCTATCTCTCACCCTTACCTTAACCTAACCCTTCAACATAACTCCTAAACCATGACCATAAACTTCACACTCTATCTTAGTCCAACTCTGGGCTTTGTGTTTTTTTTGTACTCACCTTGATGCTTTTTGTCTGGTTTCATGATGTGCTGGGTCCTCACCCATTTACTCTTCCAGCAGTTTCAGTGGGCAGTTCTGGATAATGCAGAGAGCTGCTCTGATGTGATGACATGAGCGCCACTCTCTGCATTGATTTACTGACAGTGCAGGGTGCCATGAGACATAGAAAAGGTACTGTGGGCGGGCGCCAATTTGGATTACAGGTAAGTATTGCAGTCAGGACTGCTTATTTTATCTTTAAACTTCCAGGAGGACAACAAAAGAAAATGAGCCCAAAGTAAGATTTGAACAACACTTGACCCTAAAAGAAAACTAGCACCTGAACTTTGACATCAATATTGACTTTACACCACTTTCTGTACACTAATAGGCTAATATTTGGACACCATGTAGTGCCAATCAAGCCTACAATTTGTACCAGTCATGGTTGCATATGATGTTGATTTGTTGAGGACGATAAAGCAGCAGCACTAAAAATAACATAAACCAACCTTAACCACATCCTAGCACTCCCCCAAAGCCTAACCCTATCCTAATCCAACACAGGAAACTGGCTCTTTCAGCATTTCTGTTGCCTTATCTGGTGTTTATAGCATTGCTGCCAATAATGCATGTATATTTACATTCAACACAGGCAAAGCAGTGTTTACTTGTGTAGGAAGGTGCTACACAGGTAGTACGTCATACTGTAAACCTTGTGGTGCTAGTACATAATGGATCAATGTTCATCAGCTTTTCAGCAGTTTTGTTGTCTTATCTGGTATTTATAGAATTGATTCCAATATTGCATATTTATTGACATTCAGCACAGGCAAAGCAGTGTTTAGTTATGTAGGAAGGTGCAATACATAGTACATTATACTGTGTTGCTAATACATAATAGATCAATGGCTGGGAAACACTGCATTAAATCTGTAGATTTAGGTAGGATGGCATGATGACTGTAATGACTATGCTCACATTAGAGTACAGCAGACACCAGGGTTAATCCTTATTTGAGAAAAAGGTTTAAAAGCTGAGGTTGAATTTTGTAGCCAGTTGCATGTATTCCCAAATTAAAGGATGGTGCTACAGTTGTCTCTAATTATATAGATAAGTGTGCATATCTATACACTGATCTAAATAAAAAAATAACACTCAGAGTTTGGCTAATGGGTACACTTCCAACTAGCCTTTAAGGGAATTGTTTAAGTGGCTTTTGTATATTATAATATTTAATGTGGCCTTCTTATATGTTAATTTTTGCTGTTCCACATTTGCATACAAGTACTTGTTAACTATCTATTATTGGATTGGACATTAAACTTACTAAACATGTTTCTTATGATCCTAAATGGGCCTCTAAAACAAAGATAATGTATAAACATTTTTCTGGATGTTGAAATTGTGAGATGGATACATACACAGTGTAGAGTGATGTATACTCATGTTAGAAAATGTCAGTTTTGCATTACAGTAATTCCCCTATTTACAAACGTTTTCCGTTCCAAGAGCACGTTCTTAAGTCCAATTTGTTTGTAAGTCCAACAAAGTTGGCCTAGTTGCCCAGCTACATCAAGGCTGCTTTTACACTTGCTTCTGGACATCCTGGGCCTGAAATAAAGATACTGTACTATATACAGTACTGTACAGTAAAGTACACAAAAGCACACATACGTGACAATGTATGCCAGACATGTGAACTAACTTACATGATTGGACATGCAAACTCATATATGTATCTTTGAAAGTTCATAACTTGATTGTAGAGGACTTACTGTATATGTTATTAACCTTATAACCTAATACATGCTTTACTCCAATCTACTCCAGTCTGCTCCAATCTACTCCAGACTGGAGTATGCCATACTCCAGTCTATTGCTGTAGTCATCTGTATGTAACACAATTACAATAAACACCTTTATAAACCACTGCTGAGATAATCATAAAACCAATTTAAGGATACACTACCTAGAGATAGAAATATTGTTAATCTGCCAGAGCTGACCCCAAGACTTGTATAGAAAGAGAGAGAGAGAGTAACAAGAAAGTGCAAACACTGTGCAGCTAGGCAGGAAATACAAAAGTAAATAATACTAATTGAATCATATATATTTTAAAGCTATCTTTAATGTATATAATTAGAACATGTTTAGGTAATACATTTAAAATATTTATTTTATTTCATAGCTGCTGTTATACGAAACAAGATGAACCTTTCTGTGGATCCCTGTGACAATTTTTTCCAATATGCCTGTGGCGGCTGGATTGAAAACAATCCAATTCCCGATGACCAGTCAAACTATGGAATCTACCCATGGCTGAGGAATAATGTTGACCTTAAAATTAAAGGTGTGTATTTGCTCATTGTAAGTGAATATGCGTGTTTGTGCCTTAGAAGCATAAAGGAGGGAGTAACTAAAGCTGGTGGAGAAAAGATTTAAGCACAAGGGGCTTCTTCTCAGTTAGAGCGGCTAGGGTCTGGAACTCTCTGCCACAAGCAGTGGTATCAGCTGAGAGTGTTGAATTATTCAAAATACATTTGGACAATTTCCTAGGAGACCGGAACATACAGGGGTAAGGGTACCCTTAAAAATAAGATCACATGGGGACTGGTACACATACACATGCAGAATCACAAACATACACACAGTAGGTTGAACTTGATGGACCTGTGTCTTTATTCAACCTCAAATACTATGTAACTATGTACTGTACTCAGATATCAGCTGTCTGGGGTGAAAAAAAATAGTGAAAATTCATCTCAGTCATAAGTGTTGGGATTGTTACATAGTTAGTCAGGTTAAAAAAAGACATAAGTCCATCGAGTTGAACCTATAGAGATATGAAAAAAAGAAGAAAACTAAACAACTCTATGCCCACAGTTACCCACTTTTGATCCAGAGGACGGCAAAAAACCCCTGTAAAGCATGGTTCAATTGCTCCAACGGGGGAAATACATTCCTTCCTGATCCCATAAGCAAAAGGATATCCCCTGGATCAACAATCTCTGACGCTTAATATACCTATAAGAACTCAATATCCAGTAATATTCTGTGCATTTAGGAATACTGTATATCCAGATTTTTTTAAACAGTTAACTGAGCTACCTAGAACTAGGTCTATTCCACATTTTCACAGCTCTAACTTTGAAGAATCCTTTCTGTATGCAAAGGTTAAACCTCTTTTCCTCCAGACACAGATAGTGCCCCCTTGTCCTTTGCAGTGACCTTAAACTGAATAATTTGCCAGTAAGCTCACTATATGGACCATTTATGTATTTATACATGGTGATCATGTCCACCTTCTTCTCCAGAGAGAACAAATTCAGGTCAGTTAATTGCCTAAAAGACATACAATTATTTTCTAATCTGACTGCTGAATTGGGCAAATGTTCTTAGGTAACCTTGCTCTCAGCTACACCACAACCTAAATGTATAAATAAGTAACAATATAGTGAAGGTCTGATCAGAAGAAACAGATACCTTTCGCCTAAAGATAACTTTTTACCACTAGAAATGAACTAACATTACTGCACTTCCTGGCCTTTGAACATCAGGTAGCTTAGAATGGGCAATAATGGGGGCCTGCTTTGCAGCACATTCCTGCGTGGCAAAGTTTTGTGCACCAAATTACCCAATTTTTAGTGTATCAAAGCACCACACCCTTATACCCCCTATTGCCATAGCTGACAATAAAGTTATTGTCCTTTTCCTACCAATCACACCATAGTCTCACAAGCTGGCATGGAGAAGTGGGCTGAATTATTTTAGCACACCATCAGTCATTTACTGCAGGAGGAAGAGAGTGACAGGATCATAGATTGAGGGGACATCAGGCAGGAAGCAACAATTGTTAGAGATGTTTCGCAGCTGCAGCTTACTGCCTATTGGGCTCCAGCAATGAGGAGGGTAGGGATTATAAGGTTACATACCACATGTGGGTGCCAGAGATTGGTGGGGAGGAAAGTAAAGGAGAGGCAGAACAGCAGAAAGGAAGGATTTAGTAGAGGACAGGGGCAGCTTGCAGAGGTCTGTAGCGGGCAGCTGTCCTATTCCACTAGTTGACACCTTACTACACCATATCAGCCGTCGTAAAAGCTGGCCATTTGTTTCTCCTGTTCAAAATATGGCCTAATACAAATGCTTGAATACTGTACATGAATTTACTACAATATATTCATATTCTTTTTCTGTGAAATAAATACACTCTAACGTTGATTTTGGATTAAATGCTAACTGTTGTCCTTTCCTGTTCAAAATATGGCCTACCAAAAGTGCCTCAATGTGGTCTATGGAGTCAGTAAAATATTTTTACCTTGTTTCTGTGAAATATATACATTGTTTTATAGATTTTTAGCCTGAAAAACTGCATGTAATGTGCAACTTTGCAAATGTGACCTACAAAATATTGTTTAAACAATGTTTTTTTCGGGAAATATATACATTAATTTGTAGTTTATTGAAAAGCGGCATGTGGTGTGCCAGTCTGCAAATGCTGCCTACAACAGAGTGTTTAAATACTGTTTATGGAGTCTGTGCAATATCTCTTCCTTTTTTTCTCTGAAATATGTACACTTAAAAATGGCTTTTTGGGCTGAAAAAATTGCATTTGAAATCCTGTACATGAAATGAGGAATGTGGATTTGTGAAATGTGGATTTGTTGCATTAAAATCTGCATGTTGTGTGTCACTTTCAAAGTGTGGGCTACTCAAACTGCTTTAATGCTTGCTATGGAATCTGTACAATATTTCCAGTTGTTGTCATTCATATAATGCACTCTGAATGCTCACTATAATGCACTCTGAATGTTGTCATTGAGCCTCTGCCTCTGAAATTGTGGCCTAGTAAAAAGGATTACATAGTGTGCATGGCGTCTATAAAATATTGCTGATTTTTGTCCCAGAAATAATCCTGCCTTTAATTTTATGTCAAAACCTGCCTCATCTCTCTCACTTCAATTACGGCCTAATGAAACTGCTTACATAATGTACAGTGAGTCTATTCAATGTTTCTGGCTGTTGTCTCTGAAATAATACACTCAATTTTTATTTTATCAAAAAACTGACTAATCTTTACCTCTTACCTTGCAACCCAATCAAGCTGCTTGCATACTCCAGCCACTGTGCTATATGTGTGGCTATTGTCCCTGAAATATGCCACTCACATTTTTATTTCAGGATAGAAACTGCCTCATCTGGAATGCAGGATTGTGGTTTTGAAGTGTTTTTGTGGACTGTGTTTTGACATGTTATGATGCTCTTAGGACAAAATAGTGTGCTACTGTGAAAAAAAGATCACAAGCTGTGCTACAAAACTGTTTTGCCAATGCCAGTTTCCCTATAGCCAAAGTTACCTAGCCTTTTTAAGTTCAAATGGCTCAGATTGGTGCTGTTGCTGCCATATTTATGCCTACCAATAATGTAAAAGTAAAATAATCTATTACACATACTAAATATGTACTGCCAAAATCCAGTGTCACTGATGTTTTCTGTGAGAATCGTACTGTTCTGTAACACACAGTTTAACCCTTTCGCTATCAGGCACTCTGCTCCACTTTTTGATCTCAGGTGGGCAGACTATTTTTGCATTTTTTCACTTTTGTTTTATTTTTTACTTTTATAGTTTGTAAAAGACTTCCTAAACCATACATTTCCTGAAATACTCTAAAAAAATTAGTAGCACACAAATACCACATAACTTCAAAAAGTTCTATTAAATCAAAAAAATAAAACTGCATTGAGTTAATAAATAACAAATATTTGTAAATATTAAGTTGTGCCTTTTTGCGAAATGAAGTGAAAATCAAATGTACAAATAAATTTAAATAAGCAACTCACATAAAAAATCTGGAGGTTGGCTTCGCACCTATGCTTTGTGGTAATGCCCAATCCCCAGTGCCATGTGTGCATGTGTGTTTTGCAATAAAATGATCCAACCATGCATTTGATCACACCACAGTACAGCGCGTGACAATGTCTTGCTGCCACACATAATGTTGAATACATTCAATTTAAAAAACGTTTTTAAAAAGAAAAAGTGTGCACACCAGGTTGCGCATTGCACAGTGGTGTGAATAAGCCCGTAACATGCATTATCACAATGTGTGTAGTGCACATGTGTATATTATGTGTTTGGGTTAGCCTGGGTTCACATCTGTGTGTGCGCGACAGCACGGATGTATGTGTGTTTTACACCCATTAGGGTGCAACATGTTTGGGTAGCCCATTCAATTCAGTGGGCTGCCCAATTCTCTACAAACGCACTAAAGAAGAGTGTGCATTTTATTTTAAAGCATGGTACTTTGTTAACAAGTGTTTTGACATGCTACAATGCACGTCAGATGTGCAGCAGTGCATGTGTGCTAGCATGGAACATACTGATAGGAATAGAGAGCACAGGCAGGGAAAGGGACAATACCTTCAAGGGTTACCTACAGCAGTAGAGAAAAATCAGGTCTCCTTTCCAGCCAGACAGGGCTGTGCTGTGTGACATAGCTGTGTAAATCTGAAAACTGGGTGGGCAGAAATACTAATCCTTTGGCAGGTAAAATAGCTTCCATATATGTATATATTTAGCTTTAACTTCAACATAACTATGTGTTATATATAGCTACTGCAATTATTTAATTTAATTATATAATTATTTTTAAAATGCTGAATGTAAACGCACCAGACTGGCATGATAAGAAGCACCAATCTAATTACTTACTGCACCCCATATATTGCTGGCCTGTCAGTTTCCCTGCCCTGTTTTGACTTAATCAGTCCTCTGAGTGTTTTTTTTCCCTATCTTATTTCCTAGTGAAGTATATCCAGTTTTATATTTTGATGCTAAATGTAAATAGTGCTGTGAAAACTCTGTCTGTAGCCAAGAAAATGAGGCTTTATCCATTTGCCTATCCAAGAACATTCAGTACAAGTTTTCTTGGGAGACCCATGAGATGGTGTAATCCGATGAGAAATGTGTTATAGGTCATTGCACTCAACACATTTTTTTACAGTGATTTATTCATACATTTTAAAACAACATACAGTATATACTAATTGGAGAATGAGAAATAGACCAGAGAAGGCATTCTTTACAGATGTTTTTATCCAGAATGATTTGCATCTACACAAACAAGAAAACTGCAAATGTGTATAAATAGCAATACACAAGTATTGGTATATAATAAAATAGAACATAATTCTAATTCTAGACTAACTCTACGCACAATATTATTAATGTGTATCTAAACCCTAGAATAAAAATGTAATATAGTGCATCAGGTTCTTAGATGCGGCAGCTGAATTTGTTTTCTTTTTTTTTTCTTGCCTCCTAGTGATCCCAACACTAACACACTTCTGTCC